CCACTTCGACGGCGGTCGCGGAAATGGTGTCGTCGCCAGTGCGTTATACCAGTGAAACGGCACAGAGGAGTAGGGGGCCACGGGGCCACATAGTGATAAGGGCGTAGGGTTGAAAGCGAGAGAGTCAGACGGAACAGGGGGTGAAAAACAGGGAGCGGATGCGGCGAGTAGGGGACCAGGCAACCCGGGGAATCAATAAGGGGCTGGCGGGTGGAAGTGAGGTTGAGGACCGAGTGGCAGCGGCGGCTACCCTGATTAAGGCTCGAGAGAGGGATGCAATATGAATAGAAGAGAGCCCCTGTTCCGAGGGAACCCCCTGCTGACGTCATCAATCCTTAATTGCCCCGCTACTACTGCCATGCACGTCCTACACAGGCATAGGCACGCACATTTATTCACAGACGTACGTACACATCCTCTATCTACTGGACGAGCGCCGGCGCCTCGCATGGTTAGGCGATTGGCCTGATCTCTAAATCGACCGATGACCATAGTTAGCAGCACCATATCAGACGGCGGTCAAAAAAGTTAGACATAGGCGGAATGTCTATAGAGCATACGTTCGCCTTTACACATACACGCACACACACGGCACTTCAGAACATGTGCATGCAAATGTAAAGCAAACACTTAAAAAGTTCACTGATCCTATTCTACTCAGACAATTTCGAGACACATTAACTAGCCTTTGGAAATCAGACAGTATGGGAAAGTGGAGCTAATCCTACACGGCCCGAGGAATATCGTTCATGGCGTTGCACCGATTGCTCAATACTGTAAGTTACGCTTGTTATTTACCGTTGAACGCCTTCTAATGTTATCAAAGGCGAAACAGTTATCTCAAGTAAATCAAGCAAGCCTCATTTTGGTAGCGTCGCAGTATGTAGCAGTTTATTTCGGATAGTTTGTGGTAATTTTTCCTTCCAGAAGTCCAGGTCAGAACATATGTAGAGCATCGAGCACATGTGTTAACGCGCACGTTGGCTCTCCATTGTCTCATTGGCTCACGAATGAACTGCTCCGTCTGCTGCTGCTACTGCATTTAGCTCTACCACTATCAGCGGCGGGACCCGCGACTCAACACTGGTCCATCATCGCCTAGTGGTCGGCCGCCGGCTCTGTAAGGCTATCTGCAATAGCACCCGCCACCACCTGGCGGAGCAGCTCACCAGTCATCGGCATGCCCTTCATCTAGTCATCAATGCATTCATCCAAAACGGCGAATGCAAACTACGACCGCGATCGCCACCGCAGCCACAATGCCCAGTCAACGGTATTGTTCACACGTCATGTCAACAACAACAACAACAGCCACAGCAGCGGCAAAGGCAATGATGACAACAAGGGCGACGACAATAACAACAAAAATATCAACGCTGCCAGCAAGCCCAGCATTGGCACGGCAACGATGGCTGATGAGGTCATTGACCTGCCTCACACAGTCGGACGCACACATATATATGTACGTACATACGAATAGACATACTGGCGGACTTATTGAGCACACTAGGTCGCATTCATACCTACCTACATACATACGTACATAACTCCTCAGGCGCGCAAACTCTATAGGGTAGATTCCACGCAGCAACGACCTTTTGTCACCTCGGAGACGCAGCTAAAAACGACCGATTATTACGATAATGATGCTCATTATGATCATGTGGATGACGGCAGCGATACTAAATAACTCATCGGTGCCTGACAAGTCGCGAAGCCGAGACAGAGAAAAAAAAACCGCAGTGACAGCGGCCACATGCTACCGCGCTGCGGTGAATCATTTCGTTGCTGATGGAGACAGTGGTAGAGAAAGAGGGACGATCATGCGAGGAACAACAGCCTGTGGTCCTTCTACACTGAAAAGGGGCAAATGCGCACAGCCTCAGTGGTCTCCACGGTTACAGCAGTGGAAGGAGCATGGGATAGCTTATACATGGTCATAGGTGACTTTGTACCGTGGCGCGTCGAGTCAGAGGAACCACGGGATAATTAGTTGAAACTTTCTTCGCGGCCAATGTCCGGCATAAGTAAATGGACTGACATCACATTACAGCGTGGCGAATCTCCGTTCATTTCGGTACGAACGTGCAAGCGAGTGTAATGCGCGCACTCAGCAGATAAACAGCCGCAAATTACTCGACCTAGTATTGACTCGTTCGGGTAAAATGCTAAATATCGGTTGTCTGCTTTATGCGTATTGCATTCCCGAAATATGCTATATTTCCGCTGCCATGGAAGCTCTGCTACCGGCTGTAACAAATTCGAAATTTCAAATAGTAACGCCTCGATAGTCGAAATTCAAGAGGCTGAATGGTTGGCTATATACCGAGTTACAATAATCACGTATGCATTATATATCTCGTATGAAGGCTGCCATCATCGACCACTGGTTTATAGGTTAATTATCTATTTTATGACACGACTGCGTGTATGCACAATACAAATTTCCTCTAATGAAAAACGAATTTACGCTGTAGCGCGATCCGCTTCCATACGATAAATCGCCGATGCCGGAATTCCCCGGCAGCGTTATAGAATGAACGGCCGGCGAGGGGAATCCTATAGGAAAATGAAAAATGTTGAGACAACAGGCATACATATGTGACACAACGAAAACATTAAGAGGTGTACAAGCAATGCTCAATTATAGAACACAGCTTTCACTTGTTTGTTTATAAACGCCAACGTAAAGTGAAAGAGAGCAGAGCGCTGTTACCGTTTATAATCTGTTTGTCAATCAAGGTATTAGAATAATAACAATAATGATTATTAAGACAACACACCAACGCTGGCGAGGTTAATTGCGCGGTCATTTTGCAGTGAAAAGAATAGAAAGGTGAACACTCCTAACGCAAGGAACACGAAGGTCGAACAAGGCCAGAGTAATCTTAAGGTAGAGCGGCGAGTTTCATGATCATGGTTGTCATCATCATCAATAGCAGCAGAAACAGTACCATCGTCAACTTCTTTGCCTTCTCTTCTCCTAGGCCATTGGCGACTGCTGCTGGTGCTGCTGCTGGTGATGATGATGCTGATGCTAGTGTCATACCTTGTTGGCAGAATGCTAGACATACACTAGACAGGCTAGGGACATTCCTGAAACAGGGCGGCGGGCACAACGGAAATCTGGACGGCAATACGAGCGGCTCGCATGATGCGGGCACACAAAACAGCCACAAAAAAAAATGAACAATGAGTATTCGCCACACAGCGACCACTGTTAGCTGCAGAAGTGGCTACGACCGATTCGTTCTCTGGAGCGAAGGAGAGAGTATTCAGAAAAATAGCGGCAGCTACAAGAATACAAACAACAATATCTTAGCAGTTAAGACACCACTCCTCAGATTGGCACGAGGCACAAAAAAGAAATAGCTTCTACAAGTGTTGGATAAAATCAACCCTCGGTTGTCGAGAATTGTTGAATAGCAGTGAGGACTGAGGTATGAGTGAGACACGAACTCATGCTTTAGCCTACGGAGCTTATTCTGCTTTACGAAAAGTGCTACTCCGTGTTCAGCCGACAATATTAAAATTGACACAAATGTCTAATGATGGTCACTGGTTGGACAGACGTTTACCGCACACGCCTGAATCACACAATTTATGCAGGATGCAGGCCATGTTTATTATTGCCATGTATGACACACAAGCCGAAATAATCTTTGATAACAGATGGTATCTCATAGGAGCTAAAAAAAAGCTTTGCTCAAAGGCAACTTATTAACGTATACAATCTTGGTTTTTGCACAATTAGCAGGCACGGACAATGCTTTGAGTGTCCTGTTGCTGCTGCTGGACACACCCACGCAACTATGTGTAAGTAATTCATTTTTTCTTCCATACATCACGTTATGCATAAACATCACATCTATGTATAAATCATCACACAGTTTTCAGTCAGTGTTTTCTGCCGGATGAATAATTTAAGCTTAATATAATTACACACTATTATTACCAGATAATGGTTCGGATTTACAGTAACAGGCCGCGTTCCCCTTCTTTTTGTATTTTGGGCCACAACACTTTTAGTGGCTTCTGTAGAATAAAACAAATTTTCTCAAGCTCCCAGTATTTTGATTTTATAGTAATTATAAGAAGCGTTCCTCAAGTTAATCTACCCTATGAAAAACGAGCATTGCGAATCTAAAATAACGCTTTACATTCTGCTTACTGTCAGAAATCAAGCTAGCTTTTGACGTACGCGCGGAAGAAGTGGTAGGCACGTCAACCGTACGATCACTAGATCAAAATACCCACCTTGTATTTTGTCCGTATTCTATATTTGTTTATTATATTAATGTGGGCAGGAAACGTCTGGATCTGAATGTCCACCTAAATATTATATTATGGCTTCTTAATGAACAAAGCAACATTCACGCATCGGCTACTTGATACCCCACTCATATGCAATGCCTAATTCTGGATCCTAACAACAATAGCAACACTTTACACAGCAGCAGCTGTCGTCAATCGATGTCACGCTCGTTCAAGCAGGTGGTGATGAACGTAGCGTGGTGTGTCGTTCTCTTTGCTTAAATTAGTAGATTGTATTGCATGTCTACGAGCACATCTTTCATGTCTACTCGTGTGAGTGTTTGCTTCAAATTCCGTACGAGTGTATAGAGTATACTCACAAAGTGCTCGAACGACTGCCGTTGCTGCTTTAAGCTCGGCAGTGGTGCACGAGTACCCAGTTGACTTGGTTCGGACGTCATTAGACATTGTCACGATACCGTCACCGTACTTACTATCTATTGTTCGAGTCGCATGCGAAGTAGACAATGTAAATCTATTTACACCTAAGTTACGTATATATGATTAGCATTGGTATATCTTCTACTCCTGAAATAAATTTATGTACAATATACACTCCATAGTTTCATATGATGCTTATTTAGTAGCTATTTATAATCCGTATGTATACGTATGATGTGATGCATGTGTTAGCATTTTTAATTAACGGGTTTACGTTTCTGTGCGGGGATTGTGGTGACACTTACTTGAGGTGTCTGCGGTGGCGTGGGATGAGGAGGCTGAGGTTGAGGTTGATGTGGTGATGGTTGTGGTTGTGGTGGTTGCTGGTTGGCGACCGGGGGTGGTTGAGGGTTGTTGCTGCTGCTGCCGCCGCCGACTTGGGTAGGGGATGGTGGGATGTGGGGGCCATGAGGGCCGTGTGGGTACGGGGACAAGGCGCCGGGTGGTGTGCCTGGAGGGACCCCACCACGGCCTATTGTTGTTAACGGGGGCCCTACCGCGGCGACGTCCCCACGCAGAGGACTCCCCACCGGTGGCTGAACTAAATGGCTCGGGTGGCCGGGATGACCGGGATGCGGCGCCATGTGATAGGGTGGCCGTGCCCCCGGGGGTGCACCCGGCATCGTCGGCATGGCGCCGTGCGGATGCGGCCCGTGTGGCCCATGCGGCCCCATATACCCCCTGGGTGGTCCATAAGGCGAACCGGGTGGTAAAGCCCCTTGCATGGGCGGGCCATGAGCTGCCATGGGCGAATGGGGCGCAGGCGGACCGTTTGAGGGTGGCCGCTTAGGGCTTGGAGGCGCCTGAGAAGGAGCAGGTGCTGCTCCCTCCATCGCAGCCGCCGCTCCGCCGCCCTGCACCTGCGGACGAACAAATAAACCACCAGCAACAACAACACAATAACAACAACACAAGCGACAAGCGTAAGAGACGGGTGACAGACAGGTAGTAAAAATAAACAGATAGAGAAAATGAGCAAATGCGCGACAACGCAAACCAGCCAAAGGGCACCGCTGGGGATGGCCGTGGTATGGGGTAGTTGGCCCTGCTGGTTCTGGCTATTTTATACAGACCGCCGTTCCAAAAGCTTTCAAGGCGAGGCAATAAGGGAAGGCGTTAGATTGAGACAAATTTCCAGCTCACAGAATGTTAAAAAATAGTAGAACGACAGTGAAGATCAGTGATGGCTATGTCGGTCCATAGCAGTAACACCATCGCCTCTCGAGCAGAGCAGACCAGTGAAGTGTCGAGCTATTCAAACAGTTTAAGAATACAGAGGCATCAGTACCGAGCTTATACAAAATATTTCGATTTCTCCCCATACTTAGCTTTTTTTATATTTGCTTTATACTCAGTGTGGGGCACGAAGGCATGGCGAGATAGCTGGGGGTCGACGAAGTGCTCGCGGTTGTCTAAAACTAGCTGTTCTGGCATGCACGAATCAGAAATGTTTCATCAACTAAATAACAGACAAAGCAAGCATTGACACTCACAGACCCACGTTTCAAACACGTGAGGACACCCAGGTTGTATATATATATATATATATATATATATATATATATAGTCGCTTTCTTCTAATATATATATATGGAAAAAGCGGCATAGCCGCAAAGCGGTGGCATAGTGAACAGCATGCAGTCATAAATCCAGAAAAATTGAAAGGTATGAAGATGTTTATGCTAAAGCAGATAAGCCGTACACACATATGGTGTATGATAAAGCTTTATGTGATCCTATTTTTTTCGCCTATAAGCTTAGCATACTAATTCTTGGCTAAAATGGTATCTCTTGAAAAAATTTCGTTCGAGATGATTTAACACGATCGCTTTATGCTAAAATCCGAGTTTTCGCAATCACAATAATTGTACAATAGGAAATTTATATTTTTTTCCAGTTGTCAAGTAAGTTCTTTAAATACTTCATACCGTAAGAAATATGATTTTAAAAACCGAAAAAGTAAATCTATTTTTTGAAAGATGAGTGAAAACCAGTTTTTGAAATGTTTTTCCATACAGGGTTGACGTAATTATGAGTATGCGTGCATACAATTATTATTAAATATACATATATATATATATATATGAGTGAATGTTATAATCATAATCTAATGGCTATTGATGACACGTATAGTTCGCACAATTTACCCTGACGCATGTGCGCGTATCAGTTTCAGCACATATTGAATGATGGTTAGCACCTGACTATAGCTATAGCATACACTTTTCAGAATTGCTTAATCCTTCATTCTTCAAACTAGAAAAAAGCATTCAGCGCAGCGGAGAGTTAGGGAAAATCATGTATATACTTAAGCCAACCCAATAGAAACTAGTATTTGGCATAGAAAATAATAGTGCATTTAATCTAAAGGCAATGCTATCTGTTCTTCAAACCGCTATATGGAATAGTACAGCATCTAGCATCCTAAACTGTCAATCACTTCGGTTAGCCGAGCTCAAATCCGTATATAACGAATGTCAAGTGGTAACCTGCGATGGCCAGTATCTTATAGCCTGGTAAAGAAATGGGCCACAATAAGAAACGCACACGAGACACGTATTCCTTTGTATCTTTCATATTGTAAAAGAAATGGGTGCCCTAAGAGTCGGCTTAGCTAATTAAATTGACCAATATATATATATATATATATATATCGAAAGTGTACCCTGTAGTTTGTCTCTGTATATGGTGACTGCTGGTAGTTGGAATGGTTCTCTAGTCCAACAAACGGCGACGACGACAACGACGAGTTACCTGTCTACTCCTGCTGTCACTTCGTGGAATTCGAGGCAAGACTGCCGTTAAAAACGGTGTCTTTTATGTTCAAACTATTTTTGTGGGAAAATTGTTTATAATTGCCGATTCATAACCAATAAAAACGTCTTATTTATTTCTTCCATAAGCTTGAATATATGTTACACATCTAGCAATACGAGATAGAAAAATAAATACGCAACTTGCTTTTACTTCAGTAATCAGTCCTTCGTCTATCACTCTAATTTTTTAATATAGGCCTGAGTACGCCAAGATAGCAAAACGAAGTTGACGAATAGTACGAATCTGCCAGTAATAAACGGTACGTGATGACAATATGTTTTTCGCACTGACATGCAGAATATTGAAGGTTCTGTTTGACAGAGCTTTTAGAACAGATTCTTTTTTCTATTGGCTTTATTGTACATTATCAGTTGTTTATTTATTGTTTATAAAACGTGGAACGGGAAACACAGACTTGTCGGGACGCGGGAAAAATTCGCAGAACAACATAAGGACAGTGAAGTAGCGAAAACAATGATTTTGACACGGATCGAATATCAATTGCCCGCTGGTTTGGGGAGTGAGTTGCACAGTAGTAATGAGTTTTTTTAACAACTAAGTAGACTTTGTTACAATCTTCAGCAAAACAATTATGAATAAGGAATAATCGGTCAAAGAAGATGTGTTAACGTTTAATGGTTTTCGCCTTTAATCAGAATACAAGAAATATTTTAAAATGATGGTACCACCAAATCCGTGGGTCTGTTCAAATAGTACAAGCTAGCTACAAAATTTCGATCTCCAATGCGCCCCGTAATTGTCAGTTAGGTTATAGACTTGATTTTCATAACCAGATTTACTACTATCTTTGTATCGTTTTCAGGCTTAGAGTACAAAAGTCCATATACACTTTCCAGCGATTCTCTTTGTTCAGCTATCGAGGGACCTCTCAGTATTATCACCGACGCCTTCAATGATCATATGTGTCATTTTCGTGTAGATAGAAAATCATCTATAAATTTTAATAGATTGAAAAACGGGATGAGAATCCAAAGAAGAACTAAACATTATGCCGACATAAATGATTACGGTAGGCCAAAGAGTGGTTGCAGCAGTGTTGAAGTATCAGCGACGTGAAAATCTGTGGTTTAATAGTAATTATAGGCAAACGCTTAATAGTCCATAAGATTAGGCGGGGCTAGTCATGCTACGAGTTTCAGCATACTCACAATTTGTCCTCTGAAGAATGTCACTTATATTGTGTACATATAAAACACGTGTATAACCGTATATAACTCCGTTATTACACATTCTTTTTGAACGTCTCATCCGTTTATACATATTTGTTTCAAACAATCGCACGGGTGTCGTTTTTCCCGCTAATCTTAATAGCTGCGATGATGATCATAAGGCTGACGGTTGGCAGTGCGCTGCGCGGCTAGCCTTGCCAATAAGCTGTCTTGTTCTTACAGAAAGCACAAAATATCTGTTAAAATAATAAGTTGGCTTAAAATTATGTCAATCTTTGAAACTTCTTTTTAAAAACTGGAGAACATTCAGGGTTCCGTATTGTTTGGCCAATATGGCTCAAACGGTCCCCGCCATACAGAGGCAAACCTCACTGTGTGAAATAATTCATAAAACGACCAGACATGAAACGTGCCATGTACGCATGTAAGGTTTAATGAATTATCCAAATATTCGGAACGATTGGTCTATCTTGTCTGTAGAAGAAGACAGGTAAAATAAAGCGGTGCACAAACTGCGTTACACATCTTTTGAAGTTTACACAAACCTTATAGAATATATCATCATATGTGGCGTATTAGGTCACTGGCACACATAAAGGCACATCGTAACAACTTTATGTAACTATCCATGCATTTGCAGTGGTCATAGTCGGTGCTATATGCACTGGCTTGGGGACCTTGCTTTTCATGAGCTTTTTCCAAGATAGAAATTAAACTAGAAATTTTTTTGCACAACCTGCTAGCGACCAAAAAACCCTAAAGGAGCAAGTGCAAAGCATCTGTTTGTCTGTCTGCTTTACATAAACACGATGAGGTCTATGGACAGCCGATGGCTATCCTCATCCAAATTCTTGAAGAGTGATAGCCTCATATACTAGTGGTACTACAGTTTATAAAGTGGCGTATCCCATATTTAAATGTAAGCAAAAGTCTTAAGAACGTCGGCACCATGGGCATTAATAATAATGATAATAATAAACATGGTCCACGCGGCTTTTATAGAAATCGAGCTTACCAGAGGGGCGGTGCTATCGTATACCCTTCGACAATATGGAGTTACACTACACCATATTTAACCGAAGAGACTTGAGACGCAGCTATACGTGGAGAACGCACAAAAATACGGTGTTCGGCCTACAAATATTCGAATAAAACAGAGCGTTGCTCATCCCTCGTTCTCATTAACATCAATGCATATCAAATTGCCCTACAATTAGAAGGACAACTGCAATCTCATCTGGACTTAGCTATTCTATTAACGATGCTACGAAGATGTAAATGTAACGTAAAACTGTTAATAAGGTCAACCTCCACTCATAGCAAGTACCACATGTTACTTCTGGGGACTCTGTGAGTAGCGGTACCGATATTCCATCGTTCGGTACAACTCATAAGCGAACATTACGTTATACTCATTATGATGAAGGAAATTATTTCGTACAATGTAATCCAATATGGTCAGGCTCAGCTCTCACGTAACAGGGAAACAACGCATATGTTCTTCTGCGTCAATTTAAAACCGTAGTATCTATATAGCGAGAGGCGTGTCGTTCTCGTCGGCCAATCCTGAGTGCATATGCAAACACAAAAAGGCACAAAGTATTTACACGTGTGCGTTCAGACTTGTCTCGTAACGCAATAAGGGGTTCATCGGCGATAGCAACTGGCATTTTCACGATATTTATCGTATAGCTCATGCTATAAACATCAATTATAATAAGGGACCAGGCGTAAGCCGCAACAACGGAACTTGAAATTATAGAATGATTCGAAATCAAAATAAATACAAGGAATCTACAGAACAGCAGGTAATAAAACTGTGAAAAGAAACTATGTTGTCATGGGAATAATTAATCGAACTCCTCCGCAATGCCACATATGTAGATTGCAATGGTATGCAAAGCGTCAAAATAAACTATGATAACATTATCTCGTAGGGAAAATGTCATCGTAAGAGAAGCCATGGTAAGATCAGAAATGCAGTATAACATTATTATAATAATTTACGTTTTACTTCATTACTTAAAGAGAGACACTATGCTATTGATAAATCTGACAGCAGCAACAGCGAAGTAGAACAGTGCCGACCTAAACTCAGCCCATGAGCATGCTCATAGAAAGATTATATATATACATATATATATATTGAGCGAGCGAGAGAGATAGATCGAGAGAGAGAGGGAAATTAGTTCAGCAGTGGCGCGCGCCAACAGGGTAGATCGATGGACGAATATGAAATCCACAACAGAGCACCGGACTAATAGTGAGTTATTAGTCAACAAAAGACCACGGAAGGAGTCCTCGAGAAGCACGTGGGTTTTTTTTTTCATGTCTGGTGGCAATGTTTTCGGTATTGAGAAAGGAGAACACGTCCTTGCCGGTTCGTTTACTCTCTAATAAAACAGATTCGTTGGAAGAAGGTTGCACTATATAAGCAGCAGTTTGCTTGTTTATTGTAAGTATCGTTAGTTAAGCTTAATTAATGGAGCTTTGTTTGTAAGATGTTGCATCAATGTGTTTCTGAAGTACGTCACATAATTTTGATCAATCAAAGTAAAAATAGTAAGAATACGTACCGGAGGTCGGAAGGTAGGCGCCTGAACCTGGTGGCCTGGGTAGTGAGCGCCAGGATGAGGTCGGCCGTGTGGCCAGCCAGGATGCGCTCCTGGGTAGGCTCCGGGGTGTGGTATTCCGGGGTGAGCTCCAGGATGTGGCACTCCGGGATGCCCGGGGTGTTCCTGACCCGGTGGCGGTGGCCCATAGGGGTTTGGTGGGCCCCTCTGCGGTGATTGCAGGAGTTGGTTCAACGTTGGCGTGGGACCCATGAATCGACCGTTGGGGGCTCCCGGATGACCGAGAGGGTGTTGTCCTGGATGGCCGATTGGGCCCCGAGGATAGCGTTTCGGGTCCATAGGCGGCCCGCCGTAATAGCTAAGCATCGGAGGCCCCACACCGGCCGGGCCTTGTCCGGGGGGGCCGAGCGCCATCTCGTAAGGCGATCGCTCGTCAGGTCCCTTCTGTGGGGGCGACAGCTTGGCTTGTTGTGCTGCTTGCTGCTGTTGTTGTTGGGCGTCGGGCTGTCCAGGCGGCCCGCCGTTCTCATCGGCCGGATTGCCGCTGCCCTGAGCCGGCCCCCCGCTGTTGTTGAGTGTTTCCTGGGCGGTCGGCGGGGGCACTGCCGAGGTGGACATGGCCGCCACCGTCCGTCCAGTCTGTCACAGACACACGCTACACCGTGGTGGTTTCAACGACAATCACTATAGACGAACAACGGCTCTTATTGCCGGGTCGTTCGTATGCTGCCGCGTAGAACCCTTGTCGCGGCACGTCGACGAAACGTAGGCAGTTCGTCGTACACCAGCACCAAAAAATGGCTTTTGCCACCACGGTGCTACTTGTGCTTATTCCAATTGTTACTGTTGTTGTTGTTGTCGATCAGGTTGTGGACTCTTTTTAAGGCCGGGCTGTTGATGCTGTCGAAGCAGAAGCTATACAACCGGTAGCCTGGCGACCGGCCACCGGAGACGCGGCGGTGGTGGACGTCCACCACGACTCTTTTTGTGTGCTTGTTGCTGTTGTTGTTGTAGTAGTTCGGTCGCTGCCGCCGTCGTTCCGTTGTTGTTTGAGTTGCTCCTGACTGTGTTGCCGTTTGCTTTCTTTTCTGTACGCCGTAACAGTAGCGGTAGCAGTAGTAGTAGCGGTAGTAGTAATAAACACAGTTGCTTTGCAGCGTAGCGTGGCGTAGCCCTCTCGCTATCTGTTGTTCGAGTTTGTCTGTCTATTTATCGTGGTGTGTGTGGCCACTTTACCATTACTCCATACCACCCACTGCAACAGCACTAGGCAGCATTACACGACACGGTATTCACACACACATACACTCTCACAAACATTCAAGCATACACGAGCGCCCTGTAACACCTCAACGATTCTTTTCTTCCAGTTGTTTTTGTAAAATGGGTTGTGGACACGGTAATTGATATAACACACAACTGAGCTAATGACACACTCCGTACTCCTGCTAACACACGATAATGGGTCGACATACGATGAGGTACGATCGCACACGGACTGGCCGTACACGACAGCTACACACAAACGGACCACGATGACGACGACGACGTCGTCCACGATGAAGGAACGGACTAACGCCGGGGGTTTTTCTGAGGGGCAGTCCGCTTCAATACGACGAGTAACACCTTTCGTATCGGTCACCAGCAGCACACTTCTTTACAAGGGGAGCTTTTAGGACTGCAGGAGGGTAGGGGGACTATACAACGCTGCTAGTGCCTGCTGTAGTAATAGCATTGGTTGATATCGGCGGCGGTTCGTGGTCGACGATGTTTTTACCCTCGTCGTTGCGGTCGCGAGTCGAGTCAAGATGCTTGTTATATTCCTACGACTATCCTTCTTGATGCTGTGTATTCTTGCTGTTCTTATGCCTTGGTTTGATCGTATTCCCTGCTGTTGCTGTTACTGGCAACTTCGTTGAATGGATGTCCCTCGAGAAGCCAGTCGTTTAGTCACACACACATATACACATCATATTACTGCTATATATATATTTATATATAGATCTCTCTCTCTCTATATATATATAACTCTGCTGTGTTGTAGAGAGTAATGTCGAGGATATTGTCGATAGAGGTTGTAGCGACCAAGACGGCAGTACGCCGCATCGACCAACGACCGACCGACCGACCGGTCGACCGACGACCACGAATAACGACGACGACGACGCCGCAACGAGCAGCATTCACAAAAATACACACACGACTACTATCATCACCAAAAATTCACCTTATCGCCAGCATTCGCTGCTGCTGCTGTTCGTTTTGTTGCGGATGCCGCTTTGCTTGCGGTTGTAGCTGCTGCCGTTTATGCTGCTGCTGCTGCTGGTGCTGTCGAGCTTCACTCATCATCCTGATGCCCCGGTCGGGGGGTTAACAACATACTCCGTTCGTCGCGTGTAGAACAGGCAACTAGCTAGCCAGGCAGATAGATAGGCAAGCCGACAAATTGGCAGGCAGGCAGGCACACATAGGGCGACCAACAGCCGCACCGCCGTCAATATTCTTTCCTCACGTAATAATCTATGTTATGTACAAGACAATATTTTCAGCCCGATCTCGGCCTAGCTCGTCCGTGGCAGGGCTCCACGAGCTGGCAGCGACACCGAAATACACTCGAGGACGCACTGTTTTTTGTTGGATTTGTGCTGGCTTTCAATTCGTTCCTCGTCCCTCCTCAAACGCGGGACGACGCCGCTTGCTGTGGCGCTGCTCCAGGCACCGACACCAACCACAGCCGCCGCCGTGACAAGCGCTGCTGCTGCTGCTGGGACGGCTACTCCGCTCCTCGTATCGAGGAGACACACGACGACGACGTTGGCGGCGGCGGCGGCTACGCACGGCACACCACACAGCTAGAGAGCTGCTGCTGCTGCTGCTGCTGCCGCACACAAATCAGCGGTTCGTGGCTAGCAGACGCTCAGCGCCCTCCACCACCATGTCCAAGTAGACATTAAGTCTCGATTAGTCTTCCAGTAGACTCGAACCGGCGACTACGGGCCACGCTCCGGTGGCTGCACGCGACAGGAACGCGTCTTGGCAAAAAATGCCGATGTTAAAGGTAGCTCTAGTTTGTCGCGGGCCAAAACGCCGTGTCCGCCGACTGCTGCCCGACGACGAATTATCTATTGAATATAGTCACTTATTAGTCAGTAGTTTTTCAGCAAAATGCATAGTTGTCACGACAACACTCACTAAAGGGTTTACCGGTGTGAATGACTTGAAAATCTATATAAAATATAGATAAGTACTCGGCGGAATGATACATAGACTGGCGGGTAACAAGGGCCATTTTGAATCCTGGCATATGAAACGATTAAAATCTGTTTCAGGCATTAGAGAATACTGTGGCAATTCATAATTAAAATACGAATCGGGAAAAACCGTCACTTTTCGGTGATACGTAGTGGACAAATTTTGCCGTCACCTTATTTGCCGACCCAAGTCTAACTGTCAGCTGTTATATAATGCGTTTTATCAAGAAAAAGATCGCGGCTTTGATAAAGGAATCTTCACTGTACTAGAAAAAAGCGAAAAGCTATCTGCTCTACCAGCGCTTATCAGATAAACGATAACTGTAGCATTAGGTTTTGTTGTACTGAAATTCGCTTAAAAAATTTGACCAAAAATAAACGTAAACAATGATCGGAGCGCCTCAGCGGCTCCCCTCGCCACAGGCGCGCTCGAAACTGTGTTGCTGCGGTGTCCTACTGCTGCTGCTTCAGCAGGAGCGGCTGATGGTCGTGGTCTTGGTGGCGATGCCGCTGCTGCTGCTACTGGTCGGAGTGCTTCCGAGGAGCCTCGATCTGCCGCTGTCCCCCGGACGCCATTGGCAAGCAAAGCGTTGTTGTTTGATTGTTGAGGAGGAGCTGTGCTGAGTTGAGTGGTTGCTTGATGGGTAGTAGCGGTGCTAGTCCGAGCAGTAGCATATATCAGATGTGCGAACGTTAAGTGACGTTCGTTGTTGTGTTCGCGTTGCGTTTAGCCAGCGAAGAGCAGTCAGCGAACGCACTGCGGTGGCGTCGAGGCTCGTGCGGCGAGCGGCCGGTGCGGAGACCAACGTCCCGAGTCCGAGCAACCAGGCCCCTCTGCCATGAAGCTGGTGACGCTGCAGCCCGTCGAGGGCGCGCAGAAGAGGGTGGACATCAAAGTGGGAAAGACGATCATCGGCCGTGGCCCGCTACTAGAGGTGAGTGCTGGATCCTACCGGGGGGCACGGGCGTCCTCCACCCCACCAGAAGCCGAAAGTTCATTGGGTGAAACTGACAAAAACCGCGCCTTAGAAACACCATCTACCCCTCCCCCCTCCCAGTTCGTCATTCGTCTCCTATATCTGTGTGCTGTGCTATCGTGCTATATGCATGCACTACGACATCAACAGCGAATACTTATACAACGTTCTATTGGTTTGCGGCTGGCCGTGTATGTGTTTCTTTCTTTCGTGATGTACGGAATGGTCCGCCTTAATGGGTCTTTTGTCCTCGTACAACAGTTCAGAAAAATTTGTGCGCCGGGCCTGGTGAAAAATGGGCGATAGGCCCCCCGAATGATGAGTGTGTTTGTGCGTGAATGTGCGAAATTAAAACACAAATGTTTATTTTGTGTGATTGTGTGCAAGTGCTTCTTGTGATTCATAGAAGGGAGTATTCTCCAGCCATTGTGCGTGTCTTGAGTGACAAAATAGTCTGTAACAATGTCCAGGAGTAGATCTTGTGGGTGCCGTCGATGTAGCACCTGTTTTACATGATTGTTTAAAATACTAATAGCGTTGATGAACGAGCACCCAGAACATTGTTATCCTATTGTACCGATAAAGACTGAAGACCCATCGAACGCGCAATGGGTATTCTGATATGGGACAAATCGAATTCTCTCCGATATTTGAGCAATGAAAATCGTAAAGTATTTGTAGCATTTCCATTCAGATATTTCTGGAATGACACGCTCTGCGCTAAAGCAACTTGAGAGAATTAATGTAGTATGATAAACTTTAAATGATCATAGTCATTGCTTTACACTTGAGTCGGACAATCTCCTGTGCTCTGTTGAACTGCCAGAGAATGAGAAGTTTAGTGCGTATTTGCCCTTCCACGTGCATACTTCATTGTCCTGTAATACACTTGCCTAGTCAATAGTACTAATATCAGTGAGATACGGTAATTTCAGTTGATGACATCATAAATAGCGTATTATTGTTACTGAAAAATATACGAAAGTGATTGAAAACGTGAAGAACCCCATTTTATAGGTGTCTAGATAATTAAGAACGTTTATCGCCAATGCCTCCGCACGAAGGTTATTGTTTGTGGTACACGTAGTAATAGTGAGTATATATCCATATTCAACTCGACGAGGGAAGATAATTTTTTTTTTTGTAATTTTTACACCATGATTTCCTCGATGGTTGCTTATTGTCCTACTAATAGAAATACAATATCTAACAGGAATGTACTTTATTAATTTATCCGTGACGTAGAGTTTTGTACTTATTATTGTTCATGGTAGTACATGGCTACTTGATTTCTGCGCTAAGCTAGAAAATAGATATTTTTTCCGCAGCTTTATCAATCTTGGATTAGTACCTAAATGTTCGCTAATTAAATAGATTTTGCAATTTTGTTTGTCGCTAATTGACTTTTGGTGCAGTGTGCCGATAAAAAAGTTTCCCGAAACCACGCCTTGCTTGAGGTCCAAGAGAACGGCGACGTCTTCCTCACCCCGACGCACGTCAACCCGTGCTTCTTTCTCCCAAACGACTCGAAAGGCGGTTTTGAGGTCCTTAAGAAGGATTGTCCCCAAAGGATACGCGATGGCGATTCATTTTCTCTTTTACCAAACAGCTTCCGTTATCGGTAAGTGCAATATATAAGAACTGATCAACACCTAAGCTTCAAGAAGACAATTTTAAAACTATTTGCTTCACGCAAGAGTTGCAAAGCTCTAGAGCTCAGTTAGCTATAACCGAGACGATATAGGTAAAAGCTTTAGCATTTTGTGTACAAATAAATTGGCGTGTAAATTAGTTGTTTGTGAATTTTTGGATCTCATCTACCCGTTACGATTTGTTGATTCAAAAGGCTAAATCTTAAAGATACGTAAATGGTTCGACTTTTGGTGACTATTAGGGTAATCATCTCTGATGTGGCTGACTACGAGTCCGGTGATAAGGATGATGCTGCTGGAATAAAAAAGGATGCGACAGCAACCGGCCAGGGGACGTCAACGTCTGGCCTTGGTGGTGTTGGAAGTAACAAAAAGGATTCGGGGACCCACAGCACTGAGCCAGCATTACTCAATGGTGAGAAAAAAGACCGAGACCGTGGGGAACGGGATCGTGACAAGGAGATTCATGGCGACCAACGCACTGGAGCTGGCCATGATTCCGCGTCGGCTCCATTGCACGATCTGACAACGACTTCACCAGTTGTTCATGGTCAACCAAAGGATAATGGAAAACCTGCGCCACTTAAGAATGGCTTGTGTAAGTTTAGTTACGAGTTGAAGCTTCTAGAAATAGATGATTTTGTTATTCCTATGCTACGAAATCACAGTGTTCGGCTTTTGAACTTTTGCGCAAGGGTGTGATAATTAAAATTCTATGACGGACGCACGGTGGTTGTGGCAAATGGAATAAGTGCCATGAAGAAAAATAATTTACCTTACATTATTTTTTCGAAAGCCGCTCTACCCTTGTCCTATTTGATTTATTCTGGTGTATAGTTTATTTGTAGCTTTTTGTTCCTTGTTGCCTGTAATTCATTTTATTTTCGTCAAGTTATTTTGGCTCTCTTGTGTTTTCCCCTTTCTTGTTGGGTCCGATGTTTTTTATTCCATATATCATCTACGGATAGCACCGGCACGGAGTCGGCGAAGTGAGAAGCTGGCCCAGGAAAGGGACAAGGATTTCATCAGAGAGCACAGCCCACGGGGAGGGCATACACTAAAGAAAAGTCATCTAGTAATTCATGCTGATCATAGCCGGACATCGGCCAGTGAAACCGCGGTCGCTGACAAAGTGCCCGACGCATCAAACAGCTTAGGCTCAAGGTCGCCTAAAGGCGACATTGAGAGGGCTAAGGCCTTGCCTAGAGAGATAGGCAAGGAACGAAAATCTGGTAACGATCACCAGATATTTAAAGGGCAGAAAGGGGTAGCTAGTGACAAGGTCGACGAGATTGTACCTAGCAAAGATGCGAGTAATGCCAAGATAACACCATCTGTCAGAAGCGGTAGGTCGGGGGTTTTAGCCGGGAAAGGTGAGAAGGACAAGGCTGAGTCCATGGCTAACACACCTGCTGTAGCGTTAAATACAAATAGTACTATATGTAACACGCCTGGTACACCGACTAATGCCAATAAGTCACCTTTAGCTACGAAGAAAATCCTCAGCGACAAGTCTTCATCAGGCAAAAAGGACGCGGCCGGTAGGGATGCCAAAGAGAGCAAACCAGACCCCGAAAAACAGAGCAAACTCAAGAATTTCGACTTTGACGAGGAGGACGACGAACCTCAAACAACAACATCAACAACCAAACCGACCTCCATGAAAAACAAACAACAGCAACAGCAGATACAACAGCAGCAGCAACAGCAGCAACAACAACAACAACAGCAGCAGCAGCACCAACAACAACAGCAGCAGCAGCAGCAGCAACAACAACAGCAACAGCAGACCGTAAGTAACTATGAATGATCACCTTGTAATAATAATAATTATTATTATCATTTTTATGTAATAAACAGCTGTTTAAAGCAGGTATCTGTTTACAACTGCGGGTATCTCGCAAGACAAATCGACGAAGCTATACAGTTCTATTGACGTTTATGAAGCTTAATCATAAACTTTTATCATAGTAGCATTAATATATTAATATAATACTACATATACTCTCGCAATTTATAAAAAGCTCACGAATTATTGAATGAGCTAACCATAAGAAAAAATTACTGGGGCGTATCTTCTCAATAAAGAAATAGAAAAAATATAAAGCACAGAGGTAATTTTGCTTTGTGTAATTATACTTTTACTATTGTATACATGAAACCACAATAAGCTTTGTATGTCATAATTTCGATTACTCACGACTACGTAACCACAACTTACAGTTGAACAGAACTGACTAAGCTATACAAAATAGGAAAAAGATAAAAATCTATATTTATATTTTAAACATTTCCAACATACAACTTCTCGTTTGGAAAATTTCAGTTGAAGGGTAAGAAATCCGTCGATAAGTCACTGAACAGCACCTCGACAGGATTGGCAGGGTTGGTAAGCGGTCGTAAAGGAACTGCTACTACGAAAGACACTTCATCTCGAAGGCGTAGTCCGCATCCTCCCACTACAGGTAGCAGCGGGGCTGGCAATATCTCAGATAGCCTGAACACGCCGGCCAGTGCAGGCCCCGAAGGAACCAGTGGGACAGGTGGTACAAGCCAGTCGCGCAGTACTCGTACGAATCGCACCTTAATCCAGCGGATATCTCTTGACGATTTTATGGCTTCCGACGACGAATGGATTGCTACCTACGCTTCGAGTGATGATGAACGCAAGAAAGCTAAGAGGCGTCAGCATCAGGGTTGGTATTGTTATCGTGTATTAGTCTTATCGCTGTTATTAGAACTGGGTAGTACAATTGCTGGTTTAAATAAATCAAAATCGCAGCAAATGTAGAGCATCACATTTTCTACTTCGGACTCTATATTTGTCCAGTTTTAACTTTTATACTTTTGTAAATTCTTACGAGGGTCAATCGACAGTATTGGAAGGGAGCACTACAAATACTTCTGACCTTAATAGTGAATTTGCCCAAAACGTTGTGCTGGCAATTTAAGAATCCTTTTGTCAATGGCATGCTTATAAATAAGCATGTCAATGGTATACTATCAAATTAAAATGCGAATCAACTAGTTTCATCTCTATCGGCTCTTCACGGTTATTCTAACTATTTTTAGCTTAACCAAAAAGCATGTTTTCGGCATCACACTGTTTAGCACCACTATCTGGAAGAAGGCACTAGTTCATAATTCCTACGCTCAATACTTGCATATTTGTCATGGGTTAAACACAAAATGAACGAAAAAAGTATATAAGAAAACGTGCTCTCCTCATGTTTCCCTACAATATGAAGACGGAACAGAAAAAATACGTCATACATGGGAAAAAAAACTAGTGTTTAGGAGGCAAAAAAAAATAAAAAACAGTAGATACGGAGCGTTTAGAACAAATTGGCAAAATTAATGTCGATTTTTTTACAAGTCGCATCCAAATGGAAAATGATATTTGATTTAAATAATTTGCATCCCGATGGGTGTATTTCTAATTGTCGCTTGTTTTAATCATTGCCTATATACGGGGCCGTAAACCAGTCGTAAGCTCATGTCAAAACATTTCAATCTATACGTTTGAATTCCTCCTAAATCGGGAAGTGAGCGAGCAGTGGTGTATCGAGCTTTGTTAGATTATAGTTCAGTTATATCCCGCACGCAGTAATTCAAGGAATAAAATCTTGTCTGCAAGATGAATATAAGTCCTGAGAGATGTGTGGTCTACTGTATAGTGACCACTCACGGTTTACCCACGATTTGTGAAAAATCCAGATAGACTTACTTAGCGCCGATTACGCTTCTCTGAGAGCAGTGTGATGGCATCATTAGTTCCCCGTTTATTCTACACAATATTCAGAATGTGAAAAATAGCTGGAATATTGGTTTTACTCACACTTAGATCGTGGATATGCCAGTGATTCTTGTTGCAATTGATTTTGTATCCACAGTGCACGTTTTATCGTCGCTGGAAAATCCAAGGTGACCTGCATGAGAACTTACGAGCTACCTATATCGATCCAGTCAGTCGGTTCTATTGTCTTCAGTGAGTTTCTGTCGAGGTTTCATGGCATAAGACCAAGGGTTTTCGTGAACGATTCAGTCCATTACATTCAGTGGCACGTTAGATTCAGTTGCTGGCGTAGTGAAATAAACCCCTTCTCTTTTTCAAATAACGGTAAAATTTTTACTGCGATTTCTTGCAGTACGCTTCCTGTGTTCGTATAGAAGAGCTTGTAACTGTCCCTTTCGCAACCTCGTACTTAATGATAACTCAGTAAACCGCGGATTTCAGCTAACCAAGAAGCATATAATCTTAGTGGGTTTTGTTAGGCCCGAGGAAATTAATTGAAATCAAATTCCGGCGCATATCCCGAAAATGAGTTTCCTATCTCCGCCATAATGAGTTCGAAATTTTGTTCTAGAAAGAATTGATTTTGTTTTGATATCAGGGTTGGCGGATAAAAGCATACCCATTACGATAAACAGCTTGCCGAAAATTATTTTAATTATCTCGAACACCCTAGTTTCCTGTGTCGAGTTCCTTTTGAAAAGAAACTATTATAAGGTTGTTTCTATTGTATTAACATCACTATGACTGAAATCCAGGATTCTCGAATTTTTTATTGTAAAATAATTCTTCTAGCTAAAAGAAAGTCTACAACAACGGGTGCCGAGTCGGATTCAGATTCAGATGACTGGGACGGTGGTTCCAGTCGAAAAGCACCGAAAAAACGGCCGCCGACCAAAAAGACCTCGAAGAAGAACGAGGCAGATAGTCCTGCTGAGGACAACAGTGAGGGGGAGCCATCTCCTGCGCGAAAAAAGGGTGAGTCTGGGGAAAGGTCTTACCCACATAAGTCTTACCTGATCATATGTGCATACTAGTTAAAGTTGTGAAAAAGTTACAAAGTTTACGCCATTGATTTGCGCAATATGTTAATTATGAACTAGTGATCAGCTTTTTACTAAGTAGGTGGTCCAAAACGCAACTATTCGTTACTGGGCTGGATTTTGTGTTTGACATAGGACGGGGACGTATATCAACTCATGGTCGGAAGTCAGGAAAGAAAGCCATCCCAACGAATTCTGACGAGGACGAGGACGATGATGATGACAATGATGACAGCGACGAAGAAGAGGAACGACCCAGAAAATTGTCAAAGACCAAAAAGCTTTCAGCTGGTAAAAACTCACCTGCTAAGGGAAAATTGTTGGCGGTACCTCCTAAGAAAAAAATCGTTCGGAGAAAGAAGTCACTTCTATATGCTGAAAACGAAGAAGATTTTCAGAGACAACTAGCGCGAGCCATTAGAGAGTCGAAAAAGGAACAACTGAAAAAGTAGGGGTTTTGTTTTTTCTATTGACAACTAAGTGTCACTAACGGCTATACTACAATCTAAAATTGGTCGCTATATGTTACGCGTATGTAATTCAAGAGGATAATGCAGCCTTTAGATATGAGTAGTGTAAAATGGTAATGTAATTTCTTTGGCATCTTGTTGTTGTTGACTTCCGTTATAGAGAGCGTGAGGAACGGGAAAGGACAACGGGAAACGGGACAGATAAAGTTCTGTCAGCTGCTTCCGCATAACAGCGGGCATTTACCGCTTTGTAATTGTGCGATAGCGGTTTCGACGACGCTCAGCAAGACTGAGTGTTTTGCCTTTCGCTTTACCGTCAACACAGTCAATTCAAACACCGCAGCTGGTCCGGTGGCAGACAACACTAACGGATGATCGCCTATGTCAGATCGGCAAAAAGTGACATGACGATGTCTGCATTAGCTTGTGGCATCGCAAAACGGAAAAGAATAATAGAAACGCTCTCATAGTATTTAATAGTCAGCAGCGTTGCCATAGTGACGGAGATGGTCAACTCTTTCGAAGTTGGAATCCAATCGACTTAGGACTCTCATTGACACAGCGTGCGCTAACAGCTAATGCACAACATTTACTGCATTGGGCGTCGATATTGCATCGAAACTGCAGCCAGTCGCTGTTGAGGATTCGCCGGACACGTACGTGCGCACTATGTGACCGCCGACGGCTAAAACGGTTAGCCGGAAGTCACCGCTGCCTTAGCCGCCGCCCACGGGCACAACTCCATCTGCAACTAATCCTGTGTAAATGTACTTAGTAGCTTCTTATTCTTCCTCTATCCTCCCTCGAAGATCGATCTCGACGGTGCAGAAAAAGGGGAGAGAAAACATAGGCGGTGATGATGGTGATGATGCGATTGAGTGGGACAAAACTGTCGGCTCGTCGTGTTGAAGCGTCTCATCGAGTGAGAGGGAGGTAGACATGGAAAGATAGGGGGAAGAAAAATGAACATAGTAGAACTGTAGAAGAAAATAGTTTAGAGCGTACTAGTTCTAGAGGGAGATACTGATTATATATATACGATGCTAATGATTATTAGAATTATGGGATAATGTATAAGAGAGAGAAAGAGAGAGAGCGAGCGAGAGAGAGAGAGAGAGAGAGAGAGAGAGAGAGAGAGAGAAAGGGTGGGAGGGAGGCAGTGCAAGCGTGTATGACGATATGTGAGAGTATAATGAAATCGAGTGAAATGGAAAAGATAACGACGACATTCAACCAGCCCAACCTCACCCCTGTATTTAGACAAGCTCACAAAACATACGAACATAAAGACATATATAAATATGAAGGGTTTTTGCGCGAAAAAGCCTAAATCTACTTTGGCTAAGATTAATTACGGAAAACAAATGATAAAACTAGTATTCTTTAAGTTAGGGCTACCAGAAAACCAAAACTATATTTTTAAACCGAGTTCGACAAATAACATCTTTGTAGTTTCTGTGGTACTAGCAGGTATCGAAACTGATGTGAGCCCTTTTGTACAAAGAACTCTAATTTTTGTTGTCCTTCTCAATTTTTCGACTCCTCATACTGCAGATTTTAGCATAAAAACTATCAGATAGTCGAGGACATCAAGGTAACTCCAGAAGTGAATGTGACTAAAAATCGAAAAAAAATGACTTAAGTCTTTTTGAGAAAGGCTTATCCTTGGTTTATTTGCTGCCTTTAAGTCAACTTTTGGAGTGCTTATATAAAGAATTCCCTTGGGTAATTTCAGTCACATTGTCTGCAATACCAAAAAGGTTGAGAAAAAAATTATATATAATTTAAAATAAACAAGAAATGAATTTAAGACTTGTCACACGGAAACCTCTCATATATAATACATACAATGATTAACGTTTGCAGTAAATACATTTCATGATGCATCCACAAGTCATAAGGAAACATAATTTTCACAGTATCAAAAACTTTTAGTTTACTCCACAATCGGAGAACGCCCGCCTGCTCTAGGAGATTCAGAATTATGATTTGGGACCGCAATGGCTAATTATATACACATTGACATTTAAATCAGAGCATATGCGAAGACAAAAAGAGCGTTACATGGAAGGACGCAATATATATATATATATATAGCGTCATTCGACGCTTTTGTCGACATATATTTCAGTCAGTTATATTAAGAGGGTAACTGACGTAAGCGATATGGGGAAATCCGTGTGGTAGGTTATACAAGGAAAGAACGAACCGCTTCGAATATCCTATTTGAGTGATAATGTGGTGTGTGCCGACAGAGAGGCTCCATACATCAAACAATAATGTCACCTTAGCTTTTAATAACGTGTTTTTATCAAGCAAGACGCACCTACTACTGCGAGCTGAAAAAAGGCATTTAGGAAGGATCTCGGTTCGAAATTACAGCTTTTCGTGTTGCCTAGCACCAAGTTATTCGAGTCTCGATCGTCCTATGTCTATTTTTATAACGCAGTAATGTGTGTATCGTACCCACAACAAATGTTCTCACAAGTGATGCCTCAGTCTTGTTTTCTATTCGATATCTATATTCTGTATGACAAAAAGGGCGGTGCAGGTAATTTCGATTGGTTGGTTGGTTGGTTGTCAGCTAGTTGCTTGGTGCCTTAAAGGCACAATCGTGACATATTGCGCTTCGCATGTCAATGACAACATAAGTCAGGGAGATACATACAACTATTAATTGAGTGATTGTTCTGGGTTTGTTTGGTTTAAAAGTAAAGACGACTGAGAAAGATATGTATCTAGGTGCAGTAAAAAAATAGGCATAACATGACAAAGTGACGGCGCGATGCAGAGATATTACTATTATCTAGAGAAGGACAGTATACACGCTTTAGTTGTACTATATAATAGCCAGTTGTAGTCCTGATACCGACTATTTTGTCGACATCTCGGCCTCGCTAATTCTGAAAACAAATGTTCAGCTTGAGGGTTACTAGCAGAGAATCGAAACAAAGCATAGGAGTCGAGTGAACAGAGTGAAACAAACACTGGCTGATGTCACTGTAACGAGATTTTAACACACGGAACTCCCGTATTGTACTATATGTGTGTCCATGTTAAGAAGTTACACAGTAAGCTTTTGTGTTTGCCTACTTTAATATGTTTATATATAGCTCCGCTATTATATATTTGTATTATAGTAGTATAAAGTTTGATTAAGATACTTGATTATAAATAATAATTAATACGTTGTAATATCTTATATATATATATA